AAAAAAAACAGATTTATTTAATTATGTATATAAGAACTGGAGTACAGGCCAGAGGTGGAGGGGGTGAGAGAATTTGCCAGAGACAGAATGGGGAGCTGAACAGGCAGATCTACTGAAATACACTGCTGAGGGGAGTAGTGAGTGAGACAAGAGAGGTCTGCTACACCATGTGAGTCACCTCCCTGGCAGAGGAACTAACTCCTTCTGCAGGGGCTGTAGATAGCTTCATAGTGCAGCACTTTAATCCCTTGAGCCATCATGGAGGACCGAGAGGACTCTTTAACATTTAAATTTATTATAATTGATGAAGAAGGTGGCTCAGGACTGAATGTTTCTGTGTATATATATAACCTTGAATGCCAGTGAACAGAAGTGTGGTACCCTAAGAATACTGAGCTGCCGTTTCCTTCTTACAGGTGAAGTAGGAAGATTGATTGGCACAAAATCTCGCAATCAATCATGAGATGAACTAAGAAATGTATTTGGCATTCTTGCCTTTCAGCACCATTAAAAAACCACTTTTATAGGCTGCCTCCTATGCCTGGCAGGAAATGGCATGGAGCAGAGTTTCAGTTCTGCATGAGACAGCAGGAAGATAGCCGAGAAAATATTAGGGCTATATAAAAACTGTATGGAAGACAGATAAAATTCAAGCTTTTGTCAACAGATAAATCTTCTTGACCAAACTCCCGCAAATATTTTAAAATACAGGACAAAGGATGAAGATCCCATGGGAACCCAGGTGCCATGTGAAAAGCCTTTCAGCCAAATGAAAACATAAATGACTATACCATGATTGGACATTAAGAAAACACACCAGGGACCAGAGGCTTAATTCAAGAAAGTGAATTTGTAAAATAGCCCTGAAGGGACAAAGATGTATTATTTCCTATAAATTATTTGCCCTAGATACAAATAAAGAAAATAGTGAAACACAGGAGCTATTTGAAGCCTAATTAATTCATGGAAGTATCTCTTTTCCCAGTCTCTGATTGCTTGACCAGAAATGTAAGCTTATAAATCAAATGAGAAAATGGAAATATAGTAGGACATCATACACTATCAAGTCAGACCTGGGAGCTAATACTAATTTAACTAGTAGTAGTTGGTTGCATAGTATAAATTAGTTCTCCTTGTTAAACTCTCAGTTTCCTCATTTGTAAAGCAGGGTTAATAATATATGCTTCACAGAACTGTTTTAACAATTAAACAATGTATTCAAGAATGTTCCTATAGTGGGTACCCAGTACACAGATAAATACATAAACTATTTTTACATCATAAATTTTATGATATATATTCTACAGAATAGCTAAAAGACAGAAAAAAGCTAAAAGGGTAGCTATACTATAAGAATTTACATTATTATTTTAGGACCAGGTTAGATTTACAAAAAAAATTATATGTTGTTCTGAATATAGACTTTCGGTTGCATTCAGCCAAGTGCTCCTACTTGTATCAAAGAATTAGAACTTCCTTCTTCCTAAGACAAGTCTGTATCCACCTGTTTTTCCTTGAACTTGCTGGCATTTCTAAACCCTGGACCTCCAAACTCCACATCCTTGTTGGCAATCTGCCTCAGGGATAGCCAATCATACTTTCACGATCCCTGCTCCAAACTCCCATCTCTGGTTCTCTCTGCCTGTGTTCCTCATCATCCCTGTCTTCCTCTTCTGAGTACAATTCTTTCACAGTGCCTGACATAGGGCCCTCCATAACTTCTTTTGCTACAGTCTAATCTTTTGGACTATTATGGTTCTATTGTTTGATACTGAGAGAACAGAGTGAACAGTGATGCTGAATGAACCAGTTGGGGTGAAAACCAAAGTCAACCATATCTAATGTCTTGTCAACAGAGCATGTACTTCCCTCCAGTTCCCAGCACATTGTTGGGTATAAAGTTGGATGCTCAATAAATATTTGTTGGAAGGGATGAAGGTAGGAAGAAAGGAAGAAGGGAAGGGAAAGTAGGGGGTTTTAAAGGAACACAACCCCATTAATTAACGATAGACCATTTTTTATCCCTATTGATCTTAAATGTGTGTTCACCTATCTGTGTTAGCTCAATAAGCATGGCTGTGTAAGTTGCACTGGCTGTTGTAAGTTGCACACCGCTAGGCCAAGAAACAAAACTGACTGGCAGATGTGATGATATCAAAGCATATATTTTACAAGATCCAGCCAGAGGCTTTCTAAAATAATTGATGAATATGGAACTAGAATATGTAATTTTCCCCATAATTGGGTTCCATAAAAAACTCAGATTTGGGACTAGAATTACAGAAGCACACACTAATATACTAGCCACCACAGAGAAGAAAGATGTGAGAGAGAAGACAAGATCCAGTTCTAGCTGTTTTACTAGTTCTGAGTGGTACTGAGTATGCTGCTTAACCTTTCTCTGCTTCAGTTTTGTTACTTATAAAAATGGAGGGTTGGGCATAATTCTCTGTAAGGATTCCTTCTGATTAGATATTCTTTTTTTTTTCTGATTAGATATTTTGTTTGCAGGCCAACAGAAATAGCTTTCATCAGAATACTTTATTCAATATCTCAAAAGGTGAAAAATCCTTGAAGGGATTAAACAAGATGAATTATTGAACTTGGATATAAAAAGTTGGTAGTATTAAAGCATCCAAACATTTTAAAAAATAGCCAGTGCTTGGGGTCTCCCTGGTGGCGCAGTGGGTTAAATCACAGCACTAAGAAGCTACAGCCACTACAGCATGAGTTTGATTCCCGGCCAGGGAAGGTGACCCACATGGCGCAGCAGACGTCTCCTGATCCTCCCGCTGCTCCCCTCAGAAGTGTACTTCCTCAGCTGGCCTTTTCTGTACCCTACTGTCTCTGGTGAATCCTCTTGCCACCCCTGCACCTCTGGCCTGTACCCCAGTTCTCTATGCATAAATAAATCTTAAAAAAAAAAAATAGCCAGTGTTTTAAGAAGCACTCCATCCACAGTGGGGACTCCGTGTGTGTCATGTGAACAGAACCTCATGATTCCTATACTACATTTTCACTTCAATGACTTTTAAATTGAGTCTAACATTAATGTTGTGAATTCTATTATTAAAAGGTTTAAGTGTTAAATTGCTATTTTTTCTTACAAAACAGGGAGGGGGGGAAAGGAAAGAGGGAGGAGACCTAGTGGACAATGGCAGAGAGCTGTGGGTGCCTGTGGGTGGTTGTAGTGCGGGGTCACGCATTTTATGCCATTGAATCACATAAAATGTTATAAGCCAATGTTAATTGGAAAAAAAAATTAGAAGAAAAGTATTAGAAGAAAAGATGGGCTAAATAATTGAGAGCTTGTGGATCTTAACAGAGCTGGTATATTCAAAATTATTAAATGGATTTCCTAAAATCAGAAAATCAGTCTTTGAAATTAAAGACTCACCAGCAGATTGTTTCAACAGCAAATTAGACAGATACAGCAGAAGAGAGTAAGTTAACTTAAAAACAGGTCAACAGAAGATATCCAAACTGAAACATAGAAATAAAAGAAATGGAAAAAAACCTAAATGAGTATAACAACATACATGTGGACTCACTATGCTCACTATGGAAAAAAAAAAGTCTCATTTATTCATAGCTGGAGAACCAGGAAGGGAAGAGAGAGAGGAAACAGGGCAGCGGTATATATGAAAAGAGAATAGCCAAGATATTTTGAAGGTTGATTAAAGCATCAACCCAGAAATCTAAGAAATTAAGCAGACCTCTCAAAGAAAAATGACCCATGACAACTCTTCGCATATTAACTTCAAGCACTAAAGGCCCACAACAGAAAGAAAAATAAGTTAATCATATCATTCCTCAAGTAAAAAGTCTCCAATAGTTTCCCACCTCTGAGCAAAAACAAAGGCCCTTAAATTGTGAGAAGCTACCATGCAAGCTGCAGTTCCCTGACCAGCACCTCTGCCCTTGCATATTCTGTTCCAGTTATGTTGTCCCCCTTTCTTTTCTGTGTAAAGCACATTGGCACTTCAGCACATTTATTATTAGTCTTGTCTGGAACTCACTTCATCTAGATATTGACATGCTTAAATCTCTCAATTCTTTGGTCAAGTCTTTCAGTGAGGTCTTCCCAGACCATTCCTACTTAAAACTGCTTTGACTTCTCCCAGCACTTTCTATTCTTGCTTCTCCACTTAAATTTTTGCCATAGCACCTGTCACTCATGATAGTCTCATATATATGTTTATTATCTGTATGCCACTAGATGGAAATGTGCAATTCTCTGTCATGTTGACTGCTGTACTTCCAGTGCCTGGAGCAGTACCTGGCACATGCAGGCAGAAAATATTTGTGGGATAATTGCATGTTAAGTAAGCTTTGCTGCACTTTGTAATACTACTGTGACAGTAAAGGCACAAAATTACTAACTCATTATTACAAAGCTAAAGATTTTAACTTATTTTCCAGTGGTGGCAACAGTTCTGTTATGGGACAATTAGTCTACCATATTCAAAAGCAATCTGGAAGTCTAAATTATGACAATTAACCTGATATACTATTAGAGAGTCACTCAGACACTATCAGGAAATTCACTAGATGTATAATATAATGTTTAAACAAGCCACCTTGTATTTATAAATTTATTTAAAATGAAGAGATTAGAAAATAGGTAAGCTATGGAAACAACCCAAATGCCCAAAAATATATGACTGGGTCAAGAAAATGTGGTGTATACAAAATGGAATATTACTCAGCAATCAAAAAGATAAACTCATGCCATTTGTAGCAACATGGAGATGGAGATGGAAGGGATCATGCTTAGTGAAATTATCCAGGAAGAAAAAAGGAAAATACCGAATGGTTTCTCTTGTAGGAGGAATGCAGGAGACCCACATAAGGGATGGGGGAGGGAAGTAATTATAACAAAGTAAAAACCAAAATCAACAGGCAACTATAAACCAGACACATCCTTCGGGCAGACGGAAGAAACTGGATCAAAACAGGGGTGTAAAGTGCACAAGGGACTGTAGTGATGATACACAGATGAATTGGTGGTAGGCATTTCTTAGGGACCATACACAAGATGACAAAACATACATTGTACAAAAATGAAGAATGATGTAAAAAATATATAAAATTTAAAAAAAAGAAAACTGACTAAACCAACAGAAGAATATAACAAAATATTTCAGTTAAGATATGTAAATGGATAATAAAATATGAACGAATGAGTTAAAAAAAAGAAAATGGAAAAGGATTTTCTACTTACTCATTTGACATAATTTTTTTGCTAGATGGTAGTCTTGACCCATTTCTGCTCTTAGGAACTGGAAAACAAAAAGAGGTGCAGGGGCAGTGAGAGGCTTCACCAGAGACAGAGTGGGGAGCAGAACAGGCTGACAGACAGAAATACACTGCTGAGGGGGGTAGAGGGTGGGTCGGGAGTGGTCTGCTGTGCCATATGGATCAGCTCCCTGGCTGGCCAGGGATCAAACTCCTGCTGCAGTGACTACCACTAGGGAGGACCTGGCCAAGGACTTTGATGAAAATTAACGTAAATCTTCAATGTTAAGATGAATACAGGTTCATAAAATGCTCTTATATTATTTGTGACATTCAGAATAGAAAGATAAACTTAACTAAACTCAAGACATAAATTCTGAAGAAATCCTAGGTCCCCCCCCCCAAAAAAAATCCAGCTGTAAAAGTCATTTTAAAGATAAGCTGGTAAGTTTGAATTTGTATAATAATAATATGTTTAAATTTCCTCAGATACAATATTTACTCTGAAAAAGGAACTTCTTCTGAGGAGACCTATATACTTAGAGATGAAATTTTGATGCTGCAATTTACTTCCAAATGTTTTTGTCAAATATATGTATTAAGAATGCAGTTATGTCTTATCTGTCAAGAGAGAGAAGGTATTATATATAATATGAAAATAAGCAACTTTATACTCTAAATTTTTATACAAAAATGAAAAGTGGATTATTTTTATAATTACACCTCAAAAAAGGAAGAAAAATAAAATGGCAACTTCAAACAGCTTAGTACAGACAGGTAAAGTCTTTGAATGTTCCATAATTTATGATTTAGCCATTCAGTCTTCTAACATTTAGACTAAATATTTTTTCTTCTTGTTAAAAGCAACTTAATTATTAAGTTTTAAAATTCCCTACATATACTTTATTTATTATTATTATTTTTTAAGATTTATTTATTTGGGCCCTCCCTGGTGGTGCAATGGGTTAGGACGCAGCACTGCAAGCTGGCTGCAGCTGCTTCAGTGCAAGTTCCATCCCAGGCCCCTGAGGTGACCCAAAGGAGACCCCACAGCAGACCTCTCCTGGCCTGCCCCCTGCTCCCCTCAGCAGTGTACTTTATCAATTTGCCTGTTCTGCTCCCCACTGTCTCTGGTGAATCCTCTCACACCTCTGGCCTGTATCCCAGTTCTGTATGCATAAATAAATAAATAAAATAAAAATAAAAATATTTATTTATGCATGCATGCAAGAGCTGGGGTACAGGCCAGAGGTGTGGGGTTACAGCATTCACCAGAGACAGAGTGGGGAACAGAACAGGCAGATGAACAGAAATACACTGTTGAGGGGAGCAGTGGGCAGGTCAGGAGAGGTCTGCTGCACCATGTGGGACACTTCCTTGGCCTGGGGTTAAGCCTGTGCACTGCACTGGCTGCTGACAGCCCCATATCACTGTGTTCTAACGCATGGTACCACCAGGGAGAGCCCTATGCTTTATTCTAAGAGAAAAATATAGTAAATGTCTGATTTCCTGTATGATTCCAAAGCTAGCATTCTCATTGAGTCAAATGAAGCAAGCACAATAGCATTTGCTTTGTGCTAGACATCTAAGCGGAGCTTTTAGACATGATGCAGTAATAGACACCAGATTTACTATCCCACCTTAACCAAAAAACTGGATATATGAAACATCAGTTTTTGACAATGATCTCTGAGAGAAGGGAAACAAGTGGGTCCAATGATCACCTCAGCTTACTGCTTGTGGGTTCTTTCTGGGTGCTAATCCACGGATGATCTAGAGTTGAAATAACAGTTTGGAGTTGAGAGGTCAATATGGCTCAAATTTTCAATATAGGCATGAACTTCACAAAAAAAGCAAGAGAGAGAACAATCTGCAGCAGTGTCTGAACTTTTAGTGGGCACTGATCTGCAAATGAGTATGAAGAAACAGAGGCAGGAGATCACTAGAATGATGTAGAACAAACATGGATCTCACATAGGGCTGAGAAGTGCTGATGCTCCCTCCAACAAGAGTAGAAGGTCTTCTTAATACACAGGACACCTGGAAAGAGTCCTCATGAGGGTCTTGCCTTGGCAAAATGTCTACACTCCAAAGGCAGCCTTAGATTTTCTCTCAAGACTTACAGCAAGAGGCCCCCAAACAGAAATCTGCCTCCAAGTAATTTAACTGTGTGTTCTAGATAAAAATTAAAGCAATGTTTAAAGGAAAATTGCCAAAGTTTATATCCAAGAAGATTAAAATTTATGATTTTTGGGAGTCAGTAAAAAAGGACCAGGCAAGCAAACAAGCAAGAAATAGGACTCGGGAGAAAACGAAATCAACTAGAATTATTCCAAAATTGACAAAAACAAATAGTATAGCAAGCAAGAATGTTAAAATATAACTATCAGATATAATAAATAAGCATTTAATATTTATCGTGCTCTGAAAAGTAAGGGTAAATATTAATATGATAAGGACTAAAATGGTAGCATAGATAATTAAATAAAAATTCTAGATAGAGCCCTCACTGGGGGTGTAACAGGTGCACAGCACTATGAAGCTATCTGCAGCCACGCAACAAAGCATGAGGTCAATTTCTGGCCAGGAAGCTGACCCACATGGTGTGGCAGGCCTTTCCTGTCTCACCACCTGCTCCCCTCAGCAGTGTATTTCTTTCAATCTGCCTGTTTTGCCCCCTACTCTGTCTCTGGTGAACCCTCTCACCTCCCACATCTCTGGACTGTACCCCAGTTCTTATATGCATAAATAAATAGATCTTTAAAAAATTCTAGAGATTATAAATAGAATACCTGAAATGAAAAAATATAAAGAGAAGATGGGAATAACAGCATATTATAACTGCAAAGAAAAAATCGGACACTTGAAGACAGCAACTGAAATTTCTGAAATGATGATAAACAACTGGGTAGAGAAGATGTGATATAACATATACAGTGGAATGCTACTTAGCTATAAAAGACATGAAAACTTCCCAGTTGCAAAAAAATGGAGGGACTTCAAGGGAATTATGCCAAATAAGTCAGAAGGCAAATACTGAGTGACCTCACGTACACGTGGAGTATAGGTGAACAAAGCAAATGCAAAGACTAGACAATGTACACAATACCTTGACAACAGAACTGAGGTCATCAGTGAAGGAGGTAGTTGGTGACAGCAAGAGTGGCTGGGATCCAATGGATGGCACTGGGTTTTATTATTATTTGATAAAATTTTAAAAATAAGGTATATAGAGAAAACAGGGAAAAAGAGAACATCACTGACTTCTGGGACAATATTGGGTGGTCTAACAAATGAGTAGTTCATTGAGCCCAAATGAAGGAGAGAGGGGGAAGAGGTCAAAAAATATTATTTGAAGAATTAATAACTGAAAAATTTCCAAACCTGATGAGAACTATAAACTCATAGATCTAAGAATCTTAATAAATAGAAGAAACATGAAGAAAACCACATCAAGGCACATCATAAGCATATTGCCAAAAATAATAACACAGATGAAAAAAACTTCAAGAGATAAAAAAGATACTTTAAATATAGAGAATAAAGATAGCAGTAGCCAGCTTTTCTGAAACTTTGCTAACTATTAGTTTAACAGAGCAACTTTTCAAAGTACTGAACTTTAAAAATTAAGGTGAAACAAAGACTTTTTCAGATAAATAAAAGCTGAGAGTCTTCACTGCCAACAGAACCTCATTAGGTAAATAAACAAGAGCAGAGGATATCTCTATGGATGTAGAGCTATTAAGAACACCAGGTATAGCTTCAAGAAAATACAGTTTTTCAATTAAATTATTTAAAAGATAAGCAACCATTATTTACAATTGGAAAGACATGGAAACAACCCAAATGCCCAAAAGTAGGTGACTGGATTTAAAAGTGTGGCACATATACACAATGGAATATCACTCAGCAACAACAACAAAAAATAAACATGCCTTTTGCAGCAACATAGATGGAGCTGGAAAAGATCATGCTTAGTGAAATAAGCCAGAAAGAAAAGGAAAAATACCAGATGGTTTCACTCATAGCAAGAGTATAAAGGACCAGGTGACAAAATAATAATAATGAACAACTATATATCAGAGACATTTTACGGGGGTGGAGTGGGGTAAAAAATGGTGTGTAGCGGAGGAGGGAAGTGCACTGGAATATGGTGATAGTGATGGGTGAACTAGTGATGGGAAGCCCACAGGGATTACAACACAGGGAAAAAGGCATAAAATGATGTGAAAAAAAGATAAACAACCATTTAAAACAAAAGTAATGACAATGCATTGCAAGGCTTATAAAATACGTAGAAGTAAAATGTATGACCATAGCAATACAGAAGAGAGGAAGGGGGAAATGGAAGTGTCCTATAAATGTAAAAACTGTTATGAGTCCCTACAATATATATAAAGTTGCATAATATTAGTGAAAGGGAGACTGATACCACAGTGAGGAAAATTGTTCACAAATACTTTTACTAGCATATATTCACTTTGTTACAAGTTTTATTACATGAATATGTGCTGTTAGTTCTCAAGGGTTAGGTCATGCCTTCCATATTCATGTCTAAACATCCCCAGTACCTTTCTAGTATGAAGAAAGCATTCCTTAAAGCAGTCATTAAAGAGTTTTATACAAAAACATCCCTTTTTCCTGCACCTACCTTATCAAAATATTGAATACTGTTTTCGCTCCTAACCATAAGAGTGTAAGGGAGGCAGGTAGTCACATTAAGTACCTGTATACCATTTTTCTTAATCTTCAAGGCTCTATGCTATTGAGGTATTTCAGTATTTTCCAGTTTCTAAAATTAATAACACAATTTAAACTTACTTCTGCCATGAGCTCTAATGGGGCATGAGTATCCTTATTAGGACTACTGTATTCATCATTTTCTTCCTCATTGCTATCATCTTCACCATCGTCATCTGTTGATTCAGACAACTTGTCATCAATATCTCGAAGGCAGTATTCAATCTTTTTCTCTTGCTCTACAATGACTGCATCTTTGCCCACTTTACCTTAAAAAGAATATGCATAATTTAATCAATAAATTTTGAAAGGTTCAAAATATTTTAAATGGTTACTCCTAAATTGCAATGTAACAAGTAAACATGTTTACTATGTGACTTTCTGTTTTGGAGCTGTTTTGTTCATGACTGCAGAGTATTGCAAAAAAAAAAAAAAAACACTTCTGATTTCCGTTTCCAACAAGGATAATAAAACTGCCAAGTGAAAGTGGAAAACAAATAAACATTCAGCTGATGTTCATGTTATTTAGTACTTGAGATTTTTAAAGAATGAAAATAGTTTTGTTGATAAAGAATAATTTAAAGAAAAAAGAAATTAATGCCAATCTATTTCCAGAAGTATATTTCTTAAATTGTTCATAACTAAATAAAGAGTTTGGAGAGTAAAAGGCAGAGTAAATCCTTGAATACTTGAGAATAGTTCTCTATCTCAACACACACACTCATTCACACTCTCACAAACACAGTCACATGCAGACAATGAGGAAGATGAGAAGTATTCTACATATAGCTGAGGCTACTTAAAATTTTAAATGATTTTTTCCTAATTCAAATCACAGTATCTATGACCAACCTTAGATAACTGAAAAAGAAAAAGCAAGTGCTACTAACGACCCAGTATGCCCAGTGCTACACTGGGCCCAGAAACACAAGTACCTCAAGGGATTTGCTCATACTCTCGGTGGGGAGTCAGAAACACAATGAATTATTACAATTATTAGGGTGATAAAGATGTGTACTAGATAAATGGATTAATAAATGAGAGTCCCATCCAGGTCTGGGAAGTAGTCACAATAGTCCATTGTGAGTGAGGAGGGGAAGCTTGAGTCAATGCAAAGAAAGAGAAATATGTGAGAATTACAAGCACTGTAATGGTGCCTAAGAGTTGGGGGAGGTTGAGGATAAAATGATGACAGACGTGGCTGGAGAAGTAGGTAGGAGATATCCAGGTAACTGAAAGTATTGTGGGTCAGTAATCCCGGAGTCAGGGCTTCATCCTAAGAATGAAGGGGCTAATGAAAGATTTAAGGTGAGGAAACAATTGTGATCAATTTTTTAAAATTTGTGTGTGTGTGTGCAGAACTGAGGTGTAGACCTGTGGTGCAGGTGGTGAGAGGATTCACCAGGCACAGAGTGGGGAGCAGAACAGGTGGATGTACTAAAATACACTGCTAAGGGGAGCAGCTGGCAAAACAGAAGAGGTCTGCTGTGCCATGTGTGAGTTAGTTCCCATGACCAGAGATTGAAACTCAGGCATTAGCAGTGACAGCAATGATAGTGCTGAGACTTACCCTAAGCTACCAGGGAGGCCCCAGTTTTGGTAGTTATAAAAAAACACTTGTATGTCATGTTGGAAAGTGAACTTGAGGGTGGGACCAAAAGTCTAGGTGAGAGAGAAAAAGATGATCAATTCAAGACACTGGTAAAATATGGAGAGGAAGGGGTAGATCAGAGAAATATTTTAAGAGGTAAAAATCTCCAAAATACATTATTGGGCCTATTTTTCTAAATTTCAGTAATTCTCATATTACTTTCAGCCATTTTGCCATATCTGAGTGTCACTCAGACTATTATTTTTTTCTCAAATTTTATTAATGTGACAACTATTTATATAACTATATAATTTTGGGTGTACAACTTCACAAATTTTGTCAAGTTCTAAATATTATCACTCATGAAACTGATGGAATAGAAATAAAAGTAACAATAGTCCCAACAAATTAAATGTCATTACTCTGAAGACTACATATATTAACTTATTTAATTCAATGAGGTTTGCACTATTTTTATTCCCACACAGATGAAAACTGAAGTTACAGCTCAATTTCACATCACTAATTAAGTATTAGATTTCAGAGGCAGGGATCTAATTTCTGACCATAAGTCCATATTTTTGACCAAGTTCTATCTTATTTTTTTCTAACATACATAAAAATCTACTATCAATTTTTAAGAAGTTTACTATTCTCTTACAATTATCTATATGGGAAGCACTATTAAGTGAGTTTGCCAAATCCTTTAGCTTGATACAAGTCTTTCACAGTTTTCACTCAACTTATTTTACAACCAACACGGTCTTGCGAGATTTTGAGTGACTATAAAGTCTTGTGCAAGCCTTCTTTGAAGTGTCGCATGACTTACTTTAGGTAGTGTAGACACACTTGTCTGAGAAAGAAAGCAGAAAGAAATCGAGGAGAACTCAGAAGAAGACAATGTTAAGAAAACGCAGGTCCAAATCAGACAAAACTGATAAAATAGAACTCTAAACAAAAGGAACTACCCTGAAAAAGGATACTAAGTCCTTCCAAGAGTAAGACACTGAGCTATTCAGGGCATCTACCTGCTTCTCTTTCATTGACAGTCTCCATCGACTCACAACCACCCTGATCTTCCAGTTCCCCAGCCTACTCACTGACTCATCACAATGATGTCACAGGGAAAGGTCACAATAGGGAGTTAGGTCTTTATGTGATGTCACAGGAACTTTCTCATTCAATTCCCAAACTCTCAGTCATCATTCTGATAGAGGCTCCCTGATCCTTGGGTTGCAGGGATTCTTCTCAGGTGCCATTTAATTAGATCGCACCACCCATCACCATCTATCCTAGCTTTATGTTTGCCCATTATTGTTTATTTATTTATTTTTAAAGATTTATTTATTTGAACATACAGACCTGGGGTACAGGCCAGAGGCTCAGGGGTGGTGAGAGGCTTCCCAGAGACAGAGTGGGGAGCAGATGAAGTACACTGCTGAGGGGAGCAGCGGGCGGGTCAGGAGAGGTCTGCCACACCATGTGGTCACCTCCGGGGCAGGCGGGAATCGAACTCATGTGGAAGTGGCTTTAGCATCTCAGTGCTGTGCTTTAACCCACTGCGCTACCAGGAAGGGCCCTGTTCATTTATTTTTAATAACTCTCTTTCCCACTAAAATGTGGGTTGCATAAGGGTAAAGACCTTACCTATTGGGCAGCTATTGGATTCACAGCTTTTAGAATAGTACCTGATCCTCAATAAAGTAATGTGGAATGAATAAAACTTCCTCATGCTTTTGCAGGTATCCTAAAATGTAATATCCAATATTTTTTTAATATGATGTGTACCCATACCTGGCTGCCTATCAGAATCATTTGGTAGACAAATTTGTACATTACTGATTACCATGACTCACCCAGACCTATGGGGTTATCCATAAACCAGAGGTCATGGAGAAGGAGGGGTGAAATAGAAGTGACAGTTATTCAAATAAAGGCTATTACCTGTGCTTTCTTTTAAAAAGGAAGATAACCAAGGCTTAGACTGCAGATTTGCTTCTGTATTTTTACTTTCAATACTCTTCAAAGATACTCTACTTTCAAGGATTTTATTTTCAACATTTTTTGAAGAGTCTTCTTTCCTAAATGTGAAAGTAAATAATGAAAAAATAATTTCCTAGATCACAATTCTGTTGAAGGTTTTCTATGGGTTCACATATACACACATACTTAATGTAAATACAATATAAATACCAACAATAACCTAAATAGCTGAAATGCAGTATTTTCTTTTTAAAGTGTTAAAAATAATTTTTACTGATGATAAAATTCTATTTCTACCTGGCATTTGTCACTACATATTGATCATAGACTCTCTTTAAGAGTTCTTTAACCTAGAACATCTAAGCAATAAGTTATCTAAATGTCTTTGGCACATCAATGTGATGTAATAGAATAAAATGATATAAGGGATAGTTGAGTTTTTTTCCTCTTAAGTTTCAACTCAATTATTGCCATTACTAAATGATGCACTTGTGGAGAAAGTCCTTACTAACACTTAGTCATACTATAAAGTATCCTATTTTTTAATCAAGCAGATGAAATAAAAATGGGTTAAATTTTCAACTTTTGTCTGGAGCCTCTTATCAGTAAATAATGCATCAAGATAGAGAATCTTGTGTGTGGTATATCTGTTTACAAAGACAGGCACACTTGCTAGTAGAAAAATAAACCCAACTCTATTTTTCATGGTCTTAAGAATCTTTTACTGTGTCTTTTTTACCATGTTTTAAAAAATCAGTTTCTAGTTTACATGGAGAGATATGAAGAGATGTAATATTATTTCCCCCAGAGGTATGAAGCTACGTTTTTACTCCCTTGAAATGTGAATCTAACACACTCAATGCCTGAAAATATTTGCAAGCCCAAATTTCTACCAGAATGAATAACTTTTTCAGAAGTTTATATTTTTAAACTTTGTTTTTAGAATGATTTATATTTGTCAAATACGGGCCTAAAAACAAAATTAATTAAAACTTACATTTCTGAGAACGTCTTAGCTACATTTAGAGAGACTTGTGTTGATGAATTATGAAGTCTGCTTGTAAATCTTGGTTTGTGTCCAAAGAGATATTTACTTAAAGTGTAAAAATGGGAATAAAAAAGCTTGTCATTTATTTTAGAAAAGACAAAACATGACTACAGAATAAGCTACTGATACAACTTTTTTCATTCTCGAAGAGCTGATTGTTATGAATTTGCTTCAGTCATTTTCGCCTCACACCTTTAAGCATGCTCAATGCTTGATCAAAAAAATCCGAAGATTTTTTGATCAAAGGTCCAAGATCTATAAAACCTTATCTAACATTAAAGATATATTTTTATTTTCACTACTGAAAAGTTTGTTAATTAGGTGTGTTTACTGGACAGACAAAATCTTTCACATTTGGGATACAGAAGAGAAAAAAATGATAAATGTGGGTTTTGTGTACCCAGAAATTTGAAACTCTTATTTAGAAATGCCATACACTCCTTGCGGATTGAGATAAAAACAAACAAACAAACAAAACAACAACAACAACAACAAAATGAGTGTGAAAGAAAACCTAACCTTTTGGCAAATTCCACCTGTCAGATTGTTTGTGCAGCCAGTGGATGATAGAGAATAAAACATAAGATGATTCATCAACTTTGCAGGCTGAAACACTACTTCCCAAGCAAAGATACCCTATGGTTTTCTTTTTCTCCTTGATTCCACCTCCCTCCCACACCCAGGACTTGTCCTGTTTCCTTTAACTCTAGGTACTAAAGTAGAAGTCACAGAGCTATGAAACCTACCAGCCATGCTTACACCTCCTGCTCCCTCATTCAAACAACAACCAAACCAAACCAAACCAAATCTAAGCCCGTCTACGTCAGCAACCTGAAGGGAATATGCCCTTGCAAAAAGTATTTTGATAAGCAGATTGCAATTAGTAAAGAGATCAAGTAGTCATACTGCATTTCTCTTTTGCCCAGGCTGCATTTAAATTATCCCTTGAGTCAATGGCACTACCACCCTGAATGCAGAACTCCTCTGAATCATCTCCTAGGCTAACTTACTCAGGATGTGGGTTGCCCCTTGCTAGTTCCAATGCTGCTTATCTTTGTCTATCAACATAGGGGTTCATAGCACAGTGGTAATTTACTCACCTTTAAAAAAATTATTTTTATTTATTTATGCATAAAATAATTGGGGAGCAGGACAGGTGGATCTACTGAGATAGACTGTTGAGGATGCAGTGGGTGAGACAGTAGAGGTCTGCTGCACAATGTGGGTCAGCTCCCTGGCTGGGGATCCAACTCATGCCACAGTGACTGGGGAAAGCTTTATAGTGCTGAGACTTGAACTCCTGTGCCACCAGGGAGGCCCCTGTTTACTTTCATTAATGACTTACTGCTACCTCTCATTATTATTATTGAAAGTTATATCAAAATTTTCTTAGACTTTTAAATTTAAATATATTTCAACCATGTGACAGGATACATGCACACATTTACATCTAGACTATTATACTTAATGGGTTTTTTTTTCTCCTTGTTTATAATATTTCATAGATTCTTTGTCATTGATCGGTTATATATTATTTTCTCTTCAATGTAAAATGTATTTAATATATAATTCACAACAAAAGCTAAAAATCTAAACTGAAACTGAACTATGATATTTTAATGTCAATTTTGTCAAATATTTTGGGTATTTTCCTTACTTAGTAGTAATGATTTATCTCATAGTAAATAATTTTAAAGTAAATATTCAGTTAAAGAGATATTCTGAAAGACATGAGCAAGTATTAAAGGGAAATAGGAATGGACAATAAAATTATAACTAAAATTCAGAACACTTGTTTAAGCATTTAAAAAGGAGAAGTGCATATTATCTTTACCTCTACATTTTCATCAAAATCCATTTTTCATTTTAAATGTGCTTTTATCTAAGTAACAATTGCTTTGACTCAAGCAAAAGCTAAAGTGCCAATCCATGCTTTTCTGGCCTTTCAAATTTAATTGGGAGACAAATGATTACATTATCTAGTTTAATTGCTTAAAAGGCATGGGATGGATCTGTCACAAAACCCAGACATCATCTTACCCTGACATTGCTTCATTTGGTTCAATCATCATTTTTTTCCTGAAAGAGAAGGAAAAAGCTCAGCATACTATCAGTACTGATGTTCCTAATAGAAACTCCGGCCTGGCAAATATCTAGGCATTTTTTGAACGACAGACAAGATAACAAGTGTTTCAACCACACTAAACTATTCCAGTATATTCCATTAGAATATCTTCTTCATATTTAAGATAAAATGATAGTCAAACATTCTTTTTAAGTAATGAATTATTTACTCTTTCTATCAAGCACTAGCAATCTGAAGTTCTGTTATTATTTTTGTGCCTCAAAGAGAGGTGGAAATTAAAAACCAGCATTATCATTGTTATTTTAGTTTTCAGTATTTGAAATAATTTATTGCCTTATAAATATATATATATTATCTAGGCTAAAATGTAATTTTATTCTAAAGACAACTATTCAAAAGTGATATTGACAGATTGGCATACCAGAATCAAAGTACCCTAAAATGTAATTTCTATATGATTACCTTTTCAGCATATATCTGGTTAAGATAATTTCTGCAAAATGGAAAAGATTTATTTCTTAAGTCTTTAAACACATAAATTAGAACACAAATAAAAATAATACAAAACTCAGTTGGGTACTATGCATTTTGTTTTTGTATTTAGTAGCAGTGTTTTCATACTAAGTGAAAAAAATCTTACTCTTCTAGATTATGAAATTGGATTTTTAAGTCTAGAGAAATCTACCCTTCTTATTCTCCCCATTTCATACAGGAGTCTGCATGAAAAGAGGAATAGGAACAATTTTGCTGTTAGAAAAATAATGTATTAAATAAACCTTTAGTTCTGTTACTTTTTGGTTTTACATAATTGGACTCTAGATCTAGATCAAAATACAAACAATAGCAAGTTAAGAATTTCTTCTTCCTGAGCTGACCTTAATATCATAAACTTAGCTTGGCTCATGTTTGACACTGCTTTTCTACCCTAGTTCAACAAAATAAAATACTATGTAAATCAAACCATCTGCCACATTCCAGTTCATCCATGTAATGAAAAGTACTTTTATACAGAATATAAAAGCCAGAATAAGAAGTTTTTCCAAGTGTCAAAACACAGCATCTTTATGAATATTATTATACCAAATACATTTCCTTACGTGTTTATTAATACTTACAAGTTATGTTTCCTCTATGAATTTTTACTTATGTTATCTTCTATAGATTCTCCTGTAATTTAGTTAATAAATTTGGATACATTTCAGTCTAGTCACAAAAAGAAAAAAAACTCGAGGCTTTTTATGTATGAGCTAGGCCATACTTGATTTTTCATAAGAATTCACCTGCCTTCCCCTCCACCAACACTTGTCCCCATATCCCAAGTCAGACTTGAAAAATTAGTATTTTTACATACCTTGGAGTTTTTGGAACACAACATTCAGGAATAAAACTGGACAATAAAAGAGAAACTTCATTATTTTGTATGAAGTTTGTGCTGAAATGTTTCCCTCACACTGATTTGCACCCTGAAAAGGGCAGTGGTACATAAACATTTTCCTTAGGCTCTGCTTTCTGGGAAACCCTGACAAAGACAGACATTGGTATGTTATTATTTTGATTATTGCTCCGAGACACTCAGAACTAAGGTCTATCAGAAAAGCAAGACATGTGTTTTGAGAAACACAACTGTTGCAGACTAAAAGGAAAAAAAGGAAGGAAGTAGAAAAATGAAAAAGTTTACTACTTTTTCTCCAGGGCAGTAGAGTTTAAAAGCTGAAATAAGGCAATAATGAGCCAAATAAGGTCTTAGCAAACAGAGAGCTAAGGTGAACTCTCCTGAGAGGTCTTTTCACCCCACAGGCCCATGGTCTTGTGGGTACTCACATGTCCAGGTGGACATCGCCCCCTCTCCTTTCTAGGTCTGGGATCTTTGTGGATTGCTACATGCCCTCCTTTATCTGGATGAAACATCAGACAATTCTCCTCCCATTTTCATCTGGTAAAAGAAAATCCTAGGATGGGTACAACCTAGTCCTTGCCAGAAACCCAGGTTGTGCTAGATTTGCCTTTATCACTAGCCAGGGAATGTCTAATCTTTCTACAACAGAGTGTCTTGGGGGCTGGGTGCAGCACAGAGCAATACTCTGTAACACCTGAGTTAAGAGAGACTAAATTCACATTCCATTCTGCCACTTCCCAAGTGACCTGAAGTTAAGTTACTTTATTTCCTTAGGGCTTTTCTTTTATCTGTAAACCTGGAATCACAATGGTACCAACTTCAACAGTTTATAAAGTTTAAATAGGAAGAAAGTGTTTAACACAGGGCCTGGCACATAGGACTGACACTGTAGAATGACTTGATGTTTTATCTCAGGAAAGAACTACATGGATGTCTTATGGGGCTAATTGGGATTACTTAGGGAAACAGAAGGCTTTACTTTGTAATGGAGGTAAGTAGTCAAGCTCAGAGGACTTCTAATAAATTGATTTAAAAATCACCTCAGTCCCAAAGTAGTGATACTTGCTTAGAAAGATCACTGACTCCAGGGAAAGAGCTGGGTAATTTAGAACATAGGTAATTTAGAACATGAGTAATTTAGTAATTTAGAACATAGGTAAAGTTAAAGCAGTACCTTATATGCCAAAGAGAAGTCATTACATAGTAATATGCATTTTCCAAGTAACTATCAATGTACAAAAGAAATCTCTTGAAAGGGAATACTTTTAGAAAAGAAAATAATACTGGTTGACCCCAGAAAATATTGGGATGGGGTTTTCTACTTTATGTCCATATGTACTTCTTGAATGATGAATAGTATAAGTCTTACCCTATAAGAAATACAATTCAAACTGTGCAATATCATTTGCATCTCTGTTTATACATCTTCTAGACATCTCCGAAACATGAGAGTAGCCTTGTGATACAGTAACAGGGTAGTCCCCGAGGAAAGGGGAGGTTCCAGGTTCCCTGCTCCACCCAAAAGAGGATGGAGCTGAACAGGGAGGAGAGGAATCTGGAAAAAAGACTGAAGAGGAAGGAAGCAGAATGGAGAGCCAGAAGGAGACCTGAGGGAGGCACACAGAGCAGAGATATGTGAAGAAGTGGCTCTTGTTTCATTGTTCTGGACTGGGTAAAACAGATGTGGGTGAGACCCACAGGAAGGTTAATAATGGCAGCTTTATTTTTGATTTTGCTCTTTTCCTCTCATACTTATTTAGCCATTTCTGATCTTTTTCTATGGGTCCCCACATGGAGGTGCTTTAGACTTATGGCGGGCTTTCAGGCCTTGCTTTGGGCAAATCCCATTTGGGTTGACTTCAACCCCAAAATGATGGGTAACTTTGGATGTTTGATTTACAAACCATATTCTTTGCCTTTTCTGCATTGCACACTAATTGCATTAAAGTTTCCTTCCATTAAAGGTCTTAAATGTTTTGTCTTGATATGGTGGATGGCAGAATCTATTTAAAGTGGGCAGGTTTGGGGGTTCAGGGGTGCCCCTCTCCCTGCTCTGTAACAATACTCCAGTTCTCTTCTCCACTCCATGGTACCTGTTCAATTGGAGGTGCGGTACCCAGAAAGGAGGGTAGTAAGGGACACAGTAATTGGTGACAATGACAGTAGCTTAACAATGACAGTAGCTTAACAACATGTTTCATCAGCCCTTTGCATCTCTATCAAGTGCAGCCTTCAGCTTTGGAACATGCATATTCTTCTGATGTCTTTTATTATGGTTATAATGGGAACAATTGACACAAATTTTCAATTTTCATACAATATCCAATGTCTATCTAAAAGAAATATTTGTTTAGCATCTACTATGTATCAGATATACCTGTGATAAGCTCTGAGGATACAAGAGAAGCCCAGAATTTTTTAAGGGAAACAGGTACTACCGTCCTATCTATATGGGACAGATCAAGCTTTAAAATACTGTACTAAATGCTTCCCTCTGAAGGGCTACAATGTAATTTCCCATACTGCTCACACAGGATCAATCAAATTCTTCCTTTTCACCTCATGGGCTGGAGATAATCAAGAAAAATCAGCAGGAAGCAGAACTGGAAAGACAGAGGAAGAGAGAGGCAATCAACAGAGCTGTCCCTGGACAACGCTCCAATTCCAGGATCCAGCTTTGAGGTTGTTTCTGGGCCTCCTATATCCCCCTATGGACTGAAAGTATCTTTAGAATTTCATCTGCATAGATGTGCTTGTCAGAAGCTTTGCATGGCTCTCCTCTATCTTTTACTGCACCGACCTCTCAGAGTGTGGCTCTTGCTTTCTTAGCTATATTAGTTTAGACTCTTAGTTGCTATTTACAGAAATCACAATCAAATTAACTTAGGCAAAAAAGAAGAAGAAGAAGAAGCACCACCAGAATTTAAGAAAGTTGAATATCTAAGCTTTGTACAAGTCAATGCACAATGGATATAACAGTGTGGGAAAAGAAGGGGAGAGGGGTCTGTGTATGTGGAGAAGATAGGGGTGCAAATGAAAGGAATGGGAAGGAAGGAAAACAAAAACCAAAGGAAAAGAACCTTTAAATTAAGGCTTCACTGTCCAATTTGTTACCAGTAGCATCTGTAGTGACTGACCACTTTAAATGTGATTAGTTCGACTTCACTATTGCATATTGGATTATAAAGTCTAAGTAACAAAAAAATGGGAGTATATCACTTATCTTTTAAACAATTTTTCTTTTTTTCTAAAGATTTATTTATTTATGCATACCGAACTAGGATATAGGCCAGAGGTGTGTGTGTGTGGGGGGGGGGTGATTAGAGGACTCACCAGGGATTGAGTGGGGAGCAGAACAGATAGATGTATTGAAATACATTACTGAGGGGAGCAGGGGGCGGGCAAGACAGGGGAGGTCTGCAGGGCGGGGTACTGAACTTGTGCTGCAGTGGTTGTGGTAGCTTCATAGTGCTGTGCTTTAACCTGTTGTGCCACCAGGGAGGGCCCTGTACCACTTATTTTTTAATCACTCACACTTCCATTTCTTTAAGCAACTGTTCATTAACCAAAGCCCAAGAGGT